TCAAGCATTTTATTACAGTGCCTTTAATGGCTGTGCAGATTGTCATAACTGAGCCAAAAAGAAAGGGGATATTGTGAAGATAATAAAATAGGAATAAAACTGTCACGATAAACTGCCAGATACAGTACTGAGACAAGTTAATTAAAATTTTGGTACTACATTTGGTGTAAACGCATCATTAAATTGTGTAATTGCCTCGTTGCTGGTTCCGTCTCTCATCTCTGTGTTTTTGTGTACTTTTGAAGGAGATAAAAACAACAGCAGGTCAGAGTTATTTTTACCCTCGTGATAAAGTATTCTTTCCTCCTTCCAGGCACTTTCTTGGGGAAGACTGGCGCTGACTCAGAGGCAGAGTGTGAAGCGTGTTACCCAGGTTTTTTCTGCCCCTCATGGGCTCAGATCTCTGTTGACCTCCTTTGCCCCTCAGGGTGGTTCTGTCCACCACGATCAATATCTGGACATCGGCCAGGTACGTTTTACATGATCAGGTGTGAGCCTGAGTTTAAACACTGCAGACTCTCCACTCCATCATTTACAACTCCGTTTTTTTAACACTAAACCAGTGTGGACTAACACTGAATACTGAAGAATGTATGCTTGAACATGTTAAGGATACACATTGATAAAACAGGCAGATTAATCAAAATCCATTGTGATCAATGGTCATGAATTAATTTCTTATTAGATAAGAAAGAGAAACGTTCCTGTACATGACAAAAACTTTTTTCCTGTATTTCTTTCAAAACTTTAGTGAAGTTTGGTCCTCAACAATGTTAATCAATCTACAGTCCCCAGCAATCCAGTTTATGCTTTCGTTTATTTCTGTCACATAGCACGTTTGTTCACCAGTGATTTGAAAACATTTTAGAAATAAAATGAATTGGATTGGTTGGAGCTTTTTGTAATTTGGTGTAGAAAACTCCGTGAGTGGTTCTATAAATGTTGATCTGAGCATGAAGTATTAAACATCAAACTGTGTATAAATAGCAATAAGAATATTTTATGCCTCAAATGCTTCATTAATTCACATTACATTAAATCTTTCAAAGGCATCTTGGTCCCCCTTGACTCAAATTGAGGAGACATTTGGCTAATTTGAGCATGAAATGGCCCAGAACCTATTAATAGTCACCCACTCGCTGCCGTCAGAGTCAGGGTACCTGCTGCTGAGCCTGCTTCCTCTTCTTCTTCTTTTCTCCTCCCACAGGATTTTTGCACAGGACAAATATCTGCTCAGTGTCCTTTTCATTGCTTTGTTTTCATTTTTGTGGCTCTGGGAATTTTGGAATGAAGCAGCAATGTTTTGAAACTGTGACTTAAGATCACCTTGATGAAAGAAGCATATTTGTGTTTGTATTTGTCTTGTTTTGATTTCAAATGGAAGATACATTTTTGCATTTCACAGAGTACCGCTGCCCTCCTGGGTCCAAGTGTCCCAGTGGTAGTGCTGAACCATCCATCTGTAGCTCTGGCACGTTTCAGACCTCCTCTGGTCAGGAGGACTGTCTCACTTGCCCACCAGGTGAATAAAATACTCGGGTTGTGATGATACCAAGTATAGGTACTGATGCTTCGTACGGTTGGCTTTAAATAAATGTGCAGTCGACTGGAAGACAGTCTAATATAGGTGCAGCAGCTATGTGGGTAAAATTACTGCATAGTTTAACACAGTCATCTGAACAGAAAGTGAGCTGAGCTTTTATACCAATAGCACATTTCAATGGAAAACATCGTGTCACTTAATTCCCTTGCTTCAAATCTTAACGTTACTAAACTGTGGTAACTGTGTGGCACTGAATTACTGTACATTACATACAGCACATTTCCGAGTTTGAGTATTTGTATTGGAATTTTTGCATACCTACTAAAATAACTTCAGACAAATATCACATCTGTACGAACACATTTTTGAACATAGGACTAATGAGACTCGTTGCAGGTTTTTATTGTCTGGAGGGATCGACCGTACTGACTCCTTGTCCTGCTGGTCATTTCAGTCCATTATCTGGTATCTCCTCCATCAGTGACTGTTCTCCTTGTCCTGTTGGCTTTTTCTGTAACAGCAGTGGTCTGACCGAGGCATCGGGCCCCTGCAAAGCAGGTTCGAAAATGTGATACCATGTTGAAGAAAAAAAAACATCTGGATCTCTGCACACAAACACCTGAGGTCCTCCTCGTGTCCTGTCAATTGTATTTGTCAATCCTAGGACACTTTTGTTCCCTGGGCTCTACCGACTTTTCTCCCATCTCCCAATCTTACGGAGATGTTTGCTCAATGGGACACTTCTGCCCAGAGGGCAGCGGGTCGCCACAGCCGTGTGGCATTGGCAGCTTCCTCCCAGAGTCTGGAGCGTCCTCCCCGTCTCACTGCCTCCCTTGTACCCCTGGAAAATACTGCCAGAGTCCTGGAGCACCACAACCAACAGGTGGGAGATTTCACTGGGTTTACCCTCATGATAACTGCACCTATTGCATTGAATATGCTGCAGAATAGTTGGAGACTTTCAGAATTGATTTCATTAAGCACTTCTTAATATAAACTTGAAGCACACTGTACTTGTTTTCACAATATGCTTGTATTTGGTGTACTTTGTGTTTTAAGGACACTCAAATAAAATTATATAATTATTATATAATCACATTTTTTCTAACATCATTATTGGCTGAATTTGGTCCACGGGCCGCCATTTGATGATCACTGATTTATAGTAAATAATTACAATGCCACATCTGTGTCTTGAGCTCATTCAAAACCCATAAATGCTCCTTATGTCCATTTAGTTTCTCTTTTATTTCAGGTAATTAAAGAGAAACTGTAGGGAAGCTAATGACAGGCTACGATCACACAAAGGAAAGCAGAAGCGCCTGCCGCCTATTCATGATGTGTCTCTTTGTTAGGGCTGTGTTCTGCAGGCTTCTTCTGTTCTGGAGGAGCAGATAGTCCCACTCCACGAGCCAACTCCTCTCTGTTCAGCTGTCTTCATAAAATCCTGGAGGCTTCTACCATGAAGACAGGCGCAGCCTTCTGGATGCACAATCTGTCACTCTTCCATAACTCACGAACGTCGGGTAGAATATAAAATTCTTTAGTTTGTAATTTACACGATGAACGCCTCACAAAAGAGTGTGACAGTCACCCTGTGAATTGTGATGAATGTCCCTGAATGCAACAGTTTCATGTTTGACCTTGGCATTAAGTGTGCTGTAATGAATGAGTGTTAACGGAGAACCACTGACAGTCGGAACAGTTAAACAGGAGATGTAAGCAAATGGCTCATTCATCCGAACGGAAGGTCAGGGGTTTGACTCAGCTCTGGAAAGTGACGTGAAAAAATAATGTGGTTAAAACGTCCTTAATATGGCTGAGTTAAATTATTAAAAGTACATTTGTTTTTATGCATGAGACTCAGAGTTTTCATCTGTATTCTAGGAGATGATTTGAGGACTGACGTGTTAGCATCACCCTGGTCGAATACAGATCATCATGTGACACTTTCACCACCTTCTCGTCAGACTGACTGCTCCACCTTCAGAGGAGACATTTGCCCTGAGGGTGGGTAGAGTCGATGTCCCCTCCAGCAGACATATTTTCTCTTCTCTTCTCTCTGGAAATAGCAGATGCAGATGAGCAGATAGACACATGATGGAGGCAGTGTAGATAGTAAGGCTTCTGGTTTTGGTTGAATGTAAAGCACTATAAAGTATATCATCATATTTGTAACATAATTGAATGTGAATTTTTTTTTTAGAAGATACATGAGAGACATATCAGGCAAAGACAAAACAATTCATATCAGCAGAGATAATTATATTGTACTTGACCTTTGTTAAATATGATTCATATATATTTGCAGTACATACATATATCATATGCATGGTATTGCACGCTGCATTAGAGCAGGCCTGACAATTACTACATGAATACAAGGATCATGATTATAGAATTATGACTGCACTTGTTATATATGACCCGTTTCCTTGTGACCCATGGGAAAAAGCAGTTTGAAGTCTGAGGATGTGGACCTTCCTGCGGTCCTCGTCTGCTCTCATGGAAATCAATTCATTTGTTTGTTTTTATTTTTTCCAGGCTTCTATTGTCCCGTGGGCTCTGCCTACCCTCAGCCCTGTGCAGCTGGAACCTTTTGTAATCAGACAGGGTTGGATGCCCCACTTGGGCCCTGCGATGCTGGATATTACTGCCCCGCAGGCTCCAAATACTCGTACGCCTCACTTTGCCCACCCGGACACTACTGCCCCCCTGGAACGCCTGCACCTCTTCCCTGCCCTATTGGAACCGTACAGAGTGAGATAGAGAAATATTCAATTATCACTGTGATGTCATTCATGTCTGTTAAGGTATACAATAGTATAAATTATGTTTAGAAGGCTATAAAATGTGAAAAATAAAAATTATATACTGCAGTAATTTATCAAAATAAAATATAACACAAATAAATCATTACATACAAATGAAAAAACAAAAAAAAAACATCAGACAGTCACCATCTGTTAGACCAGTGATGTGTGATGCAACTCTGAGACATGACACATTTATTGCAGGTTTTCCCAGGATGACTTGGTTCAGTCAGGAATAAGGTGGAGATCTGTTCTGTAATGATAATCTGATAAAAGTGGGCCCCATATTCCATTGAATTCTGTGGGGGAAAAAAATTGTTGAGCTCTAATACTGTTGACTTCCAGTTATTAACTGTTAGCCCTCTGGCCAGTAAAGTGGCAGCACTGAGGACATCAGCTTTGGTTTCAGTAATAAGGGGTGATGCAGGCACCATCACAATATAGACGGGAGAGAAATTGAAACGACCTTTTCTCCAGTTGTCTGTCACAAATGTTAAAAAAACAAATCTCTGTCAATAACTGTTTGAGGTTGTGCAGAGTCACAACATATGGATAAGGTTTGCAAGAGATTGCTGAAAGCTAGCCAACATATAGTAGTGACAATGCACTACTTGGCATGGAATGAGTCTTTTACAAATCAAAGTTTTATGTATGGGTTTTATATTTAGCAGTTTTCCTGCATTGAGAAAGAGAAGAAAGTGCTCTGTCATCCTCGAGGTAGAATTAAAAATACCCCAGTGATGGCAGGAGATAATTGGGTTCCATCTGTTCTCCCTGTAATCCCTTGTCATCCTCAACTGTGATTTAACAGACGATTGCTGCGTCATCAAAATTCCACAGTAGGAGAAAAAAAAGTGAGCAGCAGAAGTTACTCTGAAATGAGGCAAAGTCCATGTATGACAACAATCAACTGTCTTCACAGTGGGATCGGGTGGTTAATTAATCCACAGTGGGAGTTAAACAACGGAGATATACCTCTGTGTCCCACCTGCACAGCATTAAATTACTCAGAAATTGGCACAGTATGGTTTTCACAGTGTTCCTGGGCTTCTTGGATCAAACAACTTCAGTCCTGTTAAAATGTATATAAAGTCCTTGGCAGAGTTATACATTATTCAAAGTGCTTATCCTTGATTTCTTATCTGCGTAAAAAAGTGTTAGAAGTAGATATATACTTTTTTATTAGCATTTGTTTTGGTCTTATCAAATGGTGCAGACATGCTGATGCAGTGATTAAATCATAGACATAAAAATGGATGACTTTCAGTGTCATTTCTTCGTAGGTTCCCCTGGTGGACCTACAGTAGAAGCTTGCCATGTGTGCCCTCCAGGTCACTACTGTGATCGCAGAGGCAGTTCTGTGCCCAGTGGCCAGTGTGCAGAGGGACACTACTGTCCTGGAGGACAGATCACTGAGAGGCCGCAGCAGCATCAGTGCTCAGAGGGACACTTCTGTGAGAAGGTAAGTCACGCTTCACTGGTGTTCAGTTTGACCACCAATATTGATTTTAGTTTCTTAGTCTTTTGACCTAATTATAAGTTAGTTTTAGTCCCTATTTAGTCGATAGAATTGTTTAAAACTTTAACATCAATGACAAGAGGCCATGACAAATGTTTACTGTCTATGGTACTTTCTGTAAAGTTAACATCTCAGAACAGAAGGTCCTTGACTGAGGCTTATGACGATTATGAGGAAACAGAGTTAACACTGGTCTTCACTGCTCAGCATTGTAGAATATGATTGACTTTATTCTTTTTGTACATCTGTAATGATGTAATGATTCACTGCACATAATATCTGCTAACTCCACGCTCGCTGTTCACCTCATCCATCCACATTATTACTCTTCCCCCTGTTGTAATTGTTCAACCATAAATATTCTTGATGACGTATTCAATTACTCAACATTATGTCTCATAAAAAGTAATTGTTGCTCCAGGGAAGTGTCAGGCAAACAGCCTGCCTTCCAGGACACCACCAGCCCAGACGGGGCCAGAGCAGCTGTGAGACATGTCCTTCTGGATCCTACTGTTCCAATCAAGGTAACAATGACCTCCGGGTCATTAAAATGGAGTCAAGTGGCCACTCCTAATACAATACATTCTTCATTTAAATGTCAGGAATGACGACTCCAGTTCTCTGTGAGAGAGGGTTCTATTGTCCCAGAGGATCAGAGAAACAGCGCCCGTGTCCGACGGGGACCTACGGAAACATGACAGGACTGAGTGAGGAATGGGAGTGTTTACCTTGTGACCCTGGCACGTACTGTAAAGGAACAGGTACAACACTTCCTCACACACATACACACACACACGACGGTAATGATGTTGTTATGCTGCTGAAGGGTGTTCTAAAACCAAGCACTATTTATTGGCTGCTCTCTTATTGAAACTGTGCTTCGATGATATTTGCTTACAGCGAGGACCACCCCCAGTGGGCCGTGTGCTGCAGGTTTTGTGTGTGTTGGCAGAGCCTCAGAATCTTCTCCATCAGATAATGTAACTGGATTTCCATGCCCCCCCGGCTTCTACTGCTCTGTTGGGAGCTCTGTGCCAAAACCGTGTCCAAAAGGAACGTTCAGGTACCGTTCCTGTTTTATCTTTATGAGAATTACTATTCAAACATTGCACGGTTTCAAACTCATTCCACAAAAGACTGTAATTCTAATACGTTGTTGCAACAGGGAGTTTTAAGAGGTAAATAATTTGACAATAAAATAAAGAGTACGGTGGGGAATAGTTATTCAGGAGTAAGGAATGCTTTCACATAAAAGCCCTTTTACAGAAAGAAGTGTTATTTTATTTTAATACTGTTCACTTCAGCAATCCAAATGAAATGACATTTTCTCCCGAAGCTTTGAATACAGCATAAATTCCAGTATGAACACATACATCAGATTTTTTAAAATTATAGTCGGTGTATGATGACTCCCTGACATCAGGTGATAATTATATTCATTTCAAATCAGCAACTCAAAAAATAAAAATCCAGTATAATAGAAGAAGGGTTGGTCTCACACACTTTCAAGAACTAACATGAGTACAAAGATCCCTTTTTTACATCAATATTTTGATGATAAAATGAAAAAAAAAGCACATGATTCACATGCACGACATAATCTGAGAGGCAAGTTCTTGTTTTATGATCCAATGGAGGGAGAATCCTTTGTGAAATACAGTCAACTACTCGACCTCTTACTTTGATTTGTGCACATTAAAATGTTCACATCGTTTTACAGCGAGCACAGTGGGCTGGTGGATGAGTCACAGTGCCGCCTCTGCAGCCCAGGCTCCTATTGTTCAGAAACTGGTCTCTCTGCAGCCTCTGGACCCTGTCTCCCTGGTATGGAATGAAGAATGCAGTCACCTGTGTTTTACTGTGATATATTATTTATCGTTTTATGAACGAGTAGGTTATACAAGGAATTTTGATCAATTGTGGCTCTCTAGGTTTTTACTGTCTGGAGGGATCCCACACTGCAACTCCATTATGGAGTGTGTCTGGAAGTGTTTGTCCAGCAGGCCACTATTGTGCAGATGGCAGCAGTGTGCCCACTCCCTGTCCAGCTGGCTCTTACCGAAATGAGACAGGAGGAAAAAGCAAAGACGACTGCAAGCTATGCCCTCCTGGTACACAAGATGTTACACTTCATGCTGCAGAAGCCCTGAGTTTCTACAATTATGTTTCACTCCTTAAACACTTTTTCAGGCAGGTTCCAGGATTTATCTGGTCAGAAAGAATGTAGTCCTTGTCCACCTGGGTTTCACTGTCCCAGACCCACCAGGGGGAGCTATGCTGGGGTCTCTGTCCCTCTGCTCTGCCCTGCTGGTTACGTCTGTCCTGGGGAAAACCCTGGCTCTCGGCCACTTCCCTGTCCTAGAGGTACCTACAGCTCTAAGCAGGGTCTCATCAACATAGGTAAATACCAAAGACTCGGAGAAGATGAAGAACATTTAATTATCTGTCTGTTAGTATTTCCTTTGGTCCTGAGAAAACATGAAGTATTAGTAACTGTCTATTAGTAGTAGATAGTACAAGTGCCAGTAGTACCAGGATTATTGGTCACGTTATCCAACCTGTTTTTAAATTGATATTTATTCATTCAAGTAATGGTGTCTCCAGTCAGGTCAAAGTCCTGAGTTTGTGTTCCCATTTCTGCCATTACCTGCATATTTACACACAGTATAGTTAGCTGACTGTTTCTGACAAACACAGCAGCAGTTGGCCAGTCTCCTGGGAGACACTGGGACACAGCGGTGCTGAGAACTCATTTACAGATCGATCAAGGCACGTTTCCCATAGTCCCACAGTCACAGCTGTTGGTCTGCATTTGCAGGTGAATGTCTGGTTTGTCCTGCCACTCAGTTCTGCGGGTCGGAAGGCTTGGTTGAGCCGTCTGGGCCATGTGTGTCTGGGTACATTTGTCTGATGGGAGCCACATTGTCGAACCCAACTGATAACACCACAGGTTATCCCTGTCCACCTGGGATTTTCTGTCAAGATGGAGATGAAACCGGTAGATCTTTTTTTAAACTGCATGCATTACTTTAATATTTGAATTATTATTAATTTCCAAGGGCCACATAGTGGATATGTGGTTAGTGGTCTTGCCCTACAGTAATATAGTCACAAGTTTGAGTGCCTATGCTAATTGATGGTCTTTCTGTATGAGCTTGTCTGTTCTTCCTGTGTTTCACTCTAAATTGACCATACAGTGAGTGTGAATCACTGTGTAAGGTGTAACCCCCTGTAATGACTCATCTTGATAAAGATGAAGCAGTAGAAAAAGGGCGGATGAGTAATTGTCATCCATTTTCTTCTCCAGGTGATTGCTGGCCAGGGTTTTATTGTGGCTGGGGCTCCAGCAGACCTGATCAGACTGTGTGTCCAGCTGGTTTCTTTTGCCCCAGTCGAACACCACATCCTGTGCCCTGCCCTGCAGGAACATTCAGCTCCAAGGAAGGAAATACCCACCAAGACAACTGCACTGTTTGCAGCCCAGGATCATACTGTCAAGGTACAGCACGTGAATAATTTTAGAGTTATTCTCAGCAAGACCATTAGAAACAATTTTAGTAACATTTATTTACCCACGGTGGCCACAAGAAAATCACATCCATCAGAAAGTTGTGTTTAAATGTCTGTATTCGTTTGCTCACAGATAACCGCAAATCAGCAGTGAAATTTCAGCTGTTATAGTCAATATTTTTTTTCAACAAGCCAAGCAATGCAGTCTGGTCCTTCATTACTTAATCTTCTGGCCACTAACATTATCCTAAACTTTAGGTGGATTACTGCCATCTGCAGGACTGGGGTTTACATATTGCAAGAAACCAGGGATTTGAGTAAGAACAGTAACTGCAGATATTTGTTTATCTGCTTGAGGGAGTGAATTAGTGACACGCTGTTGATTAAATCTATCATCACTGTGTTGTTTTCTTCTTTTGGTTGGCTCAGATGAAGGCACAGTACAGCCTGCAGACTGCCCTCGTGGATACTACTGTCCTCCGGGACTGATTCTAGGACTGGAGTTTCCTTGTCCTCCTGGTACAGTCCAGAGACATTTCAGAGCATCCACTCCTGATGCCTGTGTGCCATGTCCTGCAGGTGCAGTATAGAGGAGTGACAGATGAAGGATTGGGGTTTTGCTTTATGCCATTATAAAGACATTGGGCTCATAGCTCTATGCTCTACAGGGATGTTCTGCTCTGAGCCGGGTCTGTCCCAGCCCACAGGACTCTGTGACCCTGGATACTATTGTCCTGCTGGATCAAGTAGCTCAAACTCAGAGAGTCAGGTGATCACATTGTTTCACTATTTACCCTGTCTGAAACAGAACTAGCACACAAGTGCTGGTCAAATGGTCCATTGTCTCCAAATAGAAATGTTGATTACAATTCAAAATCTAATCTGTACATTAGATGAAAACATCAACATTTTCTATTAAAACACACTGAAATATGTTCATCACATATTTAAAAGGCCAGCTTCTTTGGCTATGAAGTACTGTGTAAAAGTTTTAGGCTGGTGTATATACAGAAGTTTTCAACAGCAGGGCTCGACAGAAGTACTGAAGTACTTTTGGTTGAAAACAATAGTGAGACAAAATTTAAGGAAAAAATGCATTTCCTTAGTTTGCTTAAAATACTTTAAACCCTATCCATTTTGTAAATGCATACACACTCTGGCATGACCTTTCTTGACAGAGCATGTGAAATATAGGAGACACACAGTTTACATAAAAAGAATAATAATTGCTACAAAAACACATTAAACCAAATACATCAGTGAAACACTAGAGACAAAAGTCAATCATAACCCTGTAGCCACATGGCAACAGCCCTGTGAACAGACACACTAACAAATGAAGCCAGCAGCCTGAGCTCTTGGTGCAGAGCACATTATATACACAGGTGAGCAGGTGACTCTCCTGATTGAGGAGGCGGGGTTAGGAACCAATCACAATTGTTTGCATGTGTGAGACTAGAGCCAGGGGATCGTCACAGAATATAAAACTTTGCATAACAATACTTTTTGCAAAATTTCCCAAATGCTCCTCTGTATAAATATGAAAATATGAATCAATTTCTTGTCAGTGATTTGACTTTCGGCATCACTTCCACTGAGAAAGTCAAACAAATATAACACTCATGCACATATCAGGGAAGCTTTGTTTATTTTTTTGTCAAAATGCCCTCCAATGAATAATTTAGGGTAAAATTGGATATCCAGCCCGATCCACTGGTGGTCTATTTAAAAAGCTGAGTTTACTCTAAACATATCTAATTTGGTAAACGGTGAAACGTCAGTCTCTGTGTTTATAGTGTGAAAGTCAATTTCGCACATAATAATGAAGAATAATAAAAAGCCCACTCCTAGAACATTTATTATTAGCATCTTCATTCTGAAGAGAAAATATAATCTGTGGATGTAGTGACTTAATGAACCTGCCATATAATATTGACTCTGTTTATGGCTCTAGGGTTTGCATCCATTTGTGCACATTGATGACATTTGTTTAATAGGTACTAATGATTTAATTTTATGTTTCTACATTTTTGAATGCATCACACTGCATCGTCAGGGAAATTCTACAGGAACCCAAATCTGCCCTCCTGGGCACTTCTGCCCCTCTGGAACTGGCTATCCACTCCCTTGCCCCCCTGGCTCTCTGTCCATATCCGCAGGCCTGCAGGATGTTGCACAATGCCCTCCCTGTCCCCCTGGACTGTTTTGTGACAAACCTGGATTGTCGGTCTTCTCCGATGCTCTCCCATGTCATGCAGGGTAAGACACATTAATCGCATCCCTTTTTGTGTATACCCATATATACATATCCAGTACACACACGTTAAATATATTTCTTTCTGATACAATGCCAATCATTTCCAGGCAGGTTGAAGTCGTATTTGTGAGATTTGTAAGTTTACCCCCCTTCCCTGCCCACAGGTACGTGTGTCTGGGTGGCAGCTCCACTCCCACCCCAGCTGATGGATTTCATGGCTACCCTTGCCCTGCAGGCTACAGGTGTCCTGTTGGCTCTGGCAACGAAGTACCATGTGAGTCTGGCACTTATAGTGCAGCCCCTGGAGCAGCCCACTGTACAACATGCCCCCCAGGGACAATGTGTCCCTCCTCAGCCACTCAACAGGCCCTCATCTGTCCAACTGGTGAGGACAAAAGGACAGGAATCTCACCACGTTGTTGTAATAAGCTGAAATAATATGAAGGGATTGTGTTTTTTTTGTTGAAGGCCACTATTGCCCTGATGGAACAGGCCGTCCTTTTTCATGCCCTCCTGGGACCTTCACTAACCAGACAGGAGCACAGTCTCTTCTAGAATGCAACCCCTGTCCTCCTGGAATGTACTGTAGCTTATATGGAGCATCACTTCCTCAAGGTGATGAAATGGTATCTGTTACATTGGCAGTTGCTGTTGGACACGACAGGAAACACACTCTGGATTTAATGTCAATAAATAAACTCTCAACTGTTACATTTCATTTGTGCTGAAAGTGCAATCACTTAGACAACTGATTGAAATGCAATCAGCTGTACTGGGATTAGATCATTCAGAGTCAGGTGATAATCACAGGTGATGTCAATAAGTTATTCTCGTGGTCCTGCAGCGTCAGTGTGTATTAAACCTTGTTGAGGCTCAGCTTTAATTTGCTTCCATGTGGTAATTGCATTTCATTTTCCACTGCTTGGACTTAACACTGATTAAATTATCCCTCGTGTTGTCCTTTGAGTCGAGGTGACCTGGTGGCTGATAATATGCCCTTGTGCGTGCGTGTGTGTGTGTGTTTGCTCCTGTACTGCACGACTTTTTCTCATACTCTGATTCTGGGACAAGATGCAAACCTGTTGGTTTGACGCTGGGGTTGTACAAAATGTGAAGGACAACGGGAGGGTTAAAAAAATATCAGAAGTCGGTCTTTACTGTGAGTGAATGAAGCAGTGGCTGGACATAAAGGCATGATGATTGGATAAACTGTTGAAGAGTCAGAACCAGGTTTGTATTGACAGGACTTGTGAAAATGCACCTGAGAATTTTCTGCAACCATTCCCATAAAAGCTATCAATAAGAAAGAAATGACTGTTTCTTGTTTCAGTTGTGTAAAAATGTAGTGACTGAAAGTTATGTAACAGTAAACTTGCTGTATTTGTTTTGTGAAGGTCTTTGTTTGCAAGGATACTTCTGCCATGGTGGAGCCACAGGACCAACGCCACAAGGTTCTGTCAACTTCACCCACAATGGCCCCTGCCCTCTGGGCCACTACTGCCCCCCGGGGTGCCTCAGTCCAGTCCCCTGCCCTACTGGCAGTGTTCGCAAGACCAAAGGTACACTACGTGTTGTATGAAACTGTCAAAGTGTCAGATTTATATGTAAAAACTAAATATCAGTTCAAAGTCTGGATTATGCATGTAAGGGGTAGTTCCTAAGATCCAACTATTCATCTGCAATTTATTTAATTCCTGTCACAGGAGGGGTGAGTGTGGACAGCTGCTCCTCCTGTCCTGCAGGTCACTACTGCTCTACTGAGGGTCTGGACAAACCCACTGGACCCTGTGCCGCTGGTTTCTACTGTCCCTTTGACTTTTCTTCAATGACTCCTTATGGTTTCCTCTGTCCTAAGGTAAAGGTTGGGTCAGTATGTTCTTCATCTCTTTATATTCTCTTTTTCTTTCACTCTGTCGACACTTTTCCTTTTCCCCAAGGGTCACTATTGTCCAGAGAGCTCTGCCTCGGCCTTACCCTGCCCCACAGGAGAGTACCAACCCAACCCAGGCTCAGACTCGTGTATACCCTGTCGTCCTGGATTCTACTGCGAGGAGGCCATAGTTGGGGAACCATGGCCCTGCCCACCTCACTCGTTTTGCCCTGCAGGTACATTTAAACAGCATTACAAATAATGTTGTGTACTGTAGAAAAAGGGTGTCTTCTCTTTAGATTTCTGTGCACAGCAGCTCCAAGTATATTATTCTTTTAAATAAAGAATAATATACTCTGTGAATGTGGAAAATGCATGCTTTTCTCTGCAATTGTTTAGCTTTTAAATTTGCCTGATTTATTATAATTGGGTCTGGGATGTACGCAAACCCTTCAGTCATTTATAAAGTGTGATTTGAACAAATCACATTTATTCCACAGGGCACCAAACACAGGATCACCACTGACAGTGATTAACTCTGAAAATTACCATCATACATTTTAGCTGCCTCTCTTATATTTCAGGCACCATGGTTCCCCAGCCCTGTCCCAACGGAACATACACTCATCCAAACCAGAGTGGACTCCAGGAGATGACAGAGTGCTTACCTTGTCCTTCAGGAAGGTTCTGCAGGTACAATGGATACAAACACCCAAACAATAGTGTAGTTATACCAACCTGCTCCATTTTCACCCTCACGTACATAAGCGCAACAATGCTATCTATTACTCGTGGCTGCACACACAAATGCTACTCCGCAACCCTTTGAATTGGAGATTCAGCCCCAACATCTTTCTCTCTGTTCGGGGTTCTCTCTGCGTGGGATCTCCTGATGAAGAGATATGTGCTTGTATTTTTTACCTCGCAACCCCTTGTCACATCTCCATTAGCAAATCCATGCTCCTCATAATTCCGTGCTACAGAATCAAAACTCTGTTGCCCGTCCTCTTTGCCTAGCACTAGCGCAGCCTCGCATGTTAACGGGCACCAGGGGCTCAGTCGCATGCTTGGTAGTGAAGAGACACCATCTCTTTCTCTCTTTCTCTCTCTTACACACACTCATGCACACAAGACCTGCCATTTGTGTCTTGTTGTCAATCACTCCTATGCGTTCAAGTTTCTATTAAATTTACTTATTTTAGTAAATTAAGTCTGACTCTATTTGAAGCCACACCATTCCAACAATACTCCAAAGACCTTCAACAATTCTGATTATGGGGGAATGCTATTGATTGTTGTATATATGTAATACGGTAATTTATATATTATTACTATAACGGCAGCGCAACATAATATTTGGTTTTATGAGACTGATCAATTAAGATTAGGTGCACCTAAATATCATTTGGTATTTTACCTACACTCACGTTAACCCAAAGTGGGAATGTTGTACACACGACAGTGATGGATCACTGAACAGCCAAATTAGCATGGTAATATACATGTACACACGTAATGGATATCGAGTGTGTAGAGGTTGGAATTGCAATTGTAAAATCTCAATCTATTTATGTGATGTAACGATGCGTGCATTTGAACGCATCAGAATTGGTTTTGTGTGTTTTAACAGTTTGATATTGTATCTCATTATACATCCTACAGAGCAGGAAAGATCCAAGGTGTGTGTGCTGCAGGTTATGTGTGTATTTCAGGCAGCGCACATTTCAACCCCCAAGAACCTGTGTACAACCTGACCCAGTGTCAATGGGGCGTGCAGTGTGCTGGACCATGTCCACCAGGTACCATTCAATGATATATTACAACAACAACCGTTCCTTTTCCTATCTGCAATTCTGACACATCAATATATTGACGTATACAAAACAGCCGATCAAATGTAATCTTTCTTTAAGGCTTCTACTGTCCTGAGGGCACCGTGCGTCCACTCATGTGTCCTGCAAATACTGTTCGAAGTTCTCCAGGAGGCACTAGTCTGCAGGACTGCGTACCCTGCCCTCCACAACACTGGTGCAAACCAGGTATGACAGGACCATGGTCCAGTTGGGACCAAGGGCTTGTGTCCAAGATATTACCTATTACTTGGTGTAGACCAAGTTCGTAACATTTAAGAGCACCCCCTTTTGTTTATCTTATTTAAGAGTTAATAGAGTTAAACCATCTTTGATTTGCGCAACACTGGTAGAAAATAAGTATAAAAATAAATATTTCTTGAACTGTGTTACTAAGGGCCAGTGGGTGAAGTGGTTAGTACTTTTGCTTTACAATGAGAAAGTCCTCGGTCTTTTTGTATGAATGTTTCCTTTCAGGGTACAAGAATTTTTTTTTTACGAGAGTCAATGGTTCACTCTAAATTGAATAAAAGGTATGAATGCGAGTGTAAGAAGTTATTTTTTCTATATGTAGCCCAGTGATGGTCCAGTAATCTGTCCAGTGCTTGATCATCCACACCCAATTACAGCTTGGATTAGCTCCATCTTGCTCTCTTGACCCTGAATAGATTAATGACTAAATCAATAAATGAGCTTTTAATAACCCTCTGCAGGTTTCCCCTCCTTACATGAAAACTGAATGTCGCATCACATGTCATGTGTTCTTGCAGGAGATCCAGTTCTCCATCTGTGTCCAGCCGGTCATTATTGTGATGGTCTTCCTGACAGTGTCCTCACTGAAGGACCCAAGCCTTGCCCCCTGTATACATATCAATCTTCCCCTGGAGCAGACAGTAGAGGGTCCTGTCTGCCCTGTCCTCCTGGAACACACTGTAACGACACAGGTCTGACAAACAGCTCCCGTTCCTTCATGACAAACACTGACTGGGACACACACAAAATGAGTTACTGATCCGTTTTGTTTTAAACTAAAAGTTATTTCTTCCCTTTCATTCTAATGCATTCCATTCCCGCTGCATAATACAACAGTGACATCTGGGCAGCGTGTTTGAATTTTCCAAGGACAGTTAAAAAAATTGCCATCCTGGGTTATCTTTATTTCCTCCGCTGAGGAGATTATGTTTGTAGAGGCTGTTGTTTTTTTGCCATCCAGCCTCATAACTACAAAAAGTCAAATGTGAACTGGGGTGAAACATTTGGGCATAAATGTTTCTTTTCTTTCTGGGAAGTTGATCCATTTTTACATGCTACATGTCAGGACTGATACTGTTGAATTCAACTGTGTTTTATTCGATTGGTTTGTTTAATAGTTTGACACGTGCTTGCAACACCAAAGACCTGGTGCTTCCAGAATTACCCTTGAGATCAAAAAGTTGTCAGTTTAAATCCCCCCCATGCAGAGCTGTGGTGTGAACAAGCAGTAAAAACACAGCTCGATCAATCGTTTGGTAACGAGTTCATTGCACTGCTCCTGTTTCACAGCTGGGTTAAACGTAGAAGGTAATTTTGTCCTGTGGAGTATTATTTACACGGACCATGAATGACCCTCCGTGTGATCTGTTATTATCACAGGGCTCACTGACTACTACAACAATCTTTGCCCTCCTGGTTATTGGTGCAGTGGGTCTGGTCCACCCATCTACTGCCCCGCTGGTACCAGGAGAGCCCATCCTGGAGCGTCCACACTGAGAGAATGTGAACCTTGTGCAGGAGGAACCTTCTGCCCCGACCCTTGGTCTACAGGGAGGCCCAATGTGGAGGGAGTTTTGTGTAGGGCGTCCTATTATTGTCCCATAGGTGAGTTTAACCAGACATAGGTGGATTATCAGACTCAGAATCATTTTAAATAGAGTAAGGGTTAAAGGGACAGTCTGTAGCGGTTAGGGGATAGGGTTTGTTAAAGGTTCAAAACCCAATATCCCAAAAATCCCCCTGCTCAGAGATGGACTCAGTGCAGAAGACACATTTTATTTTGTCTATATTTGTCAGTACGTGTACAGTGACCAATAAAGACTCTTCTATTCTACATTTCCGAGCATGTTTTCTGTTGTTATTCAGGTGCCGTCTCAGAACAGCTTTGCAGACCCGGTTTTTATTGTGGACCTCAGACTGCT